AAATAGGAGCTGAGTGGGCACCCCTGTCTTGTTCCTAATCTCTGGAAAAGTTTCCAGCTTTTCACCACTGAGTTTTATATTAACTGTGGACTTGTCATATGTGACCTTTATTATGTTGAGCTACATTCCTTCCATACCTAATCTCTTAAGTTTTATCATGAAGAAATGTTGAATTTTATAAAATTCTCTTTCTGCTTCTATTGAAATAATCATGTTTTTCTTTCATTCTATTAATGTGAAGTAGCACTTTGATTTTTATGTATGTTGAACTATCATTTCAGGAGTAAATCCCACTTGATCACCATTAATAATCCTTTTAATGTGCTGGTGAATCCAGTTCCTACTATTTTATTGAGAATTTTTGCATCTATATTCATCAAGAGTACTGACTTGTAGTATCCTTTTCTGTCTTCGGTATCAGGGTAATGCTGGCCTCATAAAATGAGTTTGGGAGTGTTCTTTGTTCTGATTTTTCTTTGGGAAGGGTTTTAGGAGGATTGGCATTCTTTTTTTTTTTTTTTTTAAGATTTTATTTTTAAGCAATTTCAACACCCAACATAGGGTTTGTTTGAGCCTACAACCCATAGATCAAGAGCCACATAATCTACTGACTAGGCCAACAGGTGCTCTGGCATTAATCCTTCTTTAAATGTTTGATGAGATTTATCAGCCATCTGGTCCTGAGCTTTTCTTCATTAGGAGCTTTTTTTTTTTAATTTTTTAAGATTTTATTTATTCATGAGAGAGAGAGAGAGAGAGGCAGAGGGAGAAGCAGGCTCCATGCAGGGAGCCTGATGTGGGACTCGATCCTGGGTCTCCAGGATCACATCCTGGGCCAAAGGCTGTGCTAAACTGCTGAGCCACCCAGGCTGCCCAATTAGGAGCTTTTTGATTATTGATTCAATCTCCTTACTAGTAATTCATCTATTTACATTTTCTATTTTTTCTTGATCCAGTGTTGATAGGTTGTATGTTTCTAGTAACTTCCATTTCTTCTAGGTTGTCCAGTTTGTTGTACAGTTGTTCATAGTAGTCTTATGGTCCATTGCCTTTCTATATCTGTTGTAATGTCTTTTTCATCATAATTTTGTTGATTTACATCATTTTCCTTGCTTAGTCTAGCTAAATGTCATTTTTTTTCAAAGAACTCGATATTCTGTTTTTCTGCTGTTTCATTTATTTCTTCTCTAATCTTCAGAACTTTAGGCTTTAGTTTTGCTTTTCCTACTTAAAAGTGTAGGAGTAGGTTACTTATTGAGATCTATCTTCTTAATGTAGGCATTTATTGCTATGAACTCCTCTCTTAAAACTGTTGCTGCATTCCGTAAGTTTTGGTGTGTATTTCCATTTTTTTGTTTGCCTCAAGATGCTTTTTTCCCTTTGATTTCTCCGTTAGTCCATTGGTTGCTCGGGAAAATGTTAATTTCCGTGTACTTGTGAGTTTTCCAGTTTTCCTCCAATTATTGAGTTCTAGTTTCATACCACTGTAGTCAAAGAAGTTACTTGGTTTGGTTCCAAGTCTTGAATTTGCCAAGACTTTTGAGACCTAACATATGGTATCTCCTAGGAAATGCCCCATGTGTGCTTAAGAATGTATTCTGCTGTTGTTGGATGTATGTTCTGTATATGTCTGTCAGGTCCAATTGATCTATAGTGTTATTCAAATCCTTTTTCTTTATTGATGCTCTATCTGGATAATCTGTCCATTGTTGAGTGTGGGGCATTAAAGTTCTCAGCTCTTACTGTATTGCTGTTTACTTCTGTTAGCTCTGCCAGTTTTTGCTCTTATATATTTAGGTGCCTCGATGTTGGACACATAAATATTTACAAACATATCTTATTGATGGATTGACCTTATTATATTGGCCTTTTTTGACTTTTTACTATTTTTAAAGCCTGTTCTGATATAGCTACGCTTTTTTGTTACCATTTGCTTGAAATATCTTTTTTCATCCCTTTGCTCTGTCTGTGCATGCCTTTAGGACTAAACTGGGTATCCTGTAGGCAGCATATCATTGGATTTTTTTTTTTCTCCACTCTATTCAGCCATTCTGTCTTTTGGAGAATTTAATTCCTTTACATTTTCTTTAAAAATTTTATTTATTCATGAGAGACACACACAGAGAGAGGCAGAGACACAGGGAGAGGGAGAAGCAGGCTCCATGCAGGGACTCAATCCCGGGTCTCCAGGATCAGGCCCTGGTCTGAAGGCGGCGCTAAACTGCTGAGCCACCCGGGCTGCCCTAATTCCTTTACATTTAAAGTAATTATTGATAAGTAAGGACTTACTATTGCAATTTTGTTGTTTTCTGGCTATTTTGTAGAACTGTTTTTCCTTGTTTCTTATCCTACTGTCTTTTTGTGTGTTCCAATGTCTTTTGGTACCTATATTTGACTTATCATGTTCTTTTGTGTAATTAGTACAGGTTTTCAGCTTGTGATTACAAAATACCTTCTAGTTATAACACTCTAAACTGATAACTTCAATAGCACTCTTTACTTTTCCACTCATACACATTTGCTTACTGATTTTGAAGTTTATATATATTTTTATATTGTACCCAGTATCCAATAACAGACTACTAGAATTATGGTTAAGTTTTTAAACTTTTTTTAAGAGTTTACTTTTCAGAGAATGTGGTGGCAGGAGGGTGGGGAGATGGGCAGCAGAGGGAGAGGGAGGAAGAGTCTTAAACAGACTCCACACTGAGCAAGTAACCCAAAACAGGACTTGATCTCATGACCCTGAGATTATGACCGGAGTCAAAAACAAGAGTTGGACACCACCCAGGTACCCCTGTTTTTATTTTATTTTTATTTTTTTTAAAGATTTTATTTATTCATGAGAGAGACACAGAGAGGCAGAGACACAGGCAGAAGGAGAAGCAGGCTCCATGCAGGAAGCCCGATGCGGGACTCGATCCTGGGTCTCCAGGATCACGCCCTAGGCTGAAGACAGCGCCAAACTGCTGAGCCACCGGGGCTGCCCACCCCTGTTTTTAAACTAAAGTTGAAGTACAGGATGCACAACCATTAGAATACAGATTCTAATTTTGAGTATATGTTTACCATGACCAGTGAGTTTTATGCTACTTAGGTATTTCTGATGCTAACTAGCATCCTTTTGCTGCTACTCAAAGAATTCCATCTAGCATTTATTAGGAAGGTCTAGTGATTATGGATTCCTTCAGTTTTAGTTTGTTCTTTATCTCTCCTTCATTTCTGAAGGACTTTACCAGCTATAGAATTCTTGAGTTTTTTCCTTTGATACTTTGAATTTGTCATCATATTCTCTCCTGGCCTACAAAGTTTTGTTGAGAAATGCATTTATAGTTTTATGGGGGTTCTTATATATTTAACTTCTTTTCTCTTATTTCAAAACTTGACTTTTGACAATATACTGTGTCTCAGTATAATACTGTTCGGGTTTAATTTAGAGTCCATGGGTTTCTGTGTGCTCTGGCTAGGTTTCCTGGTCAGATGGACTGAAGGTTGTATTCAGCAATGGCTAGGGCTAAGAATTACATTCCTTGCCCATGCAGAGCTGGAGAACTGGTTCAAAGGCCTAAAAAGTTCTCTGTGGTTGACTCAAGTTGACCTGTATTCCAAGTTCCCTGGCTATACAGCCGGGCCACTATCTTTGCTCTGCAGATAATCAGTTCTGCCTGCTGCACCTCCCTACTTGAGTGTTGCAGGGCTATGAAGCTTTCTAGGTGTTCTGGTCAGGCTTTGAGCAGGCCAGGAGCTACACTTACATGTGTGGGCCAGGCTATGCTCCCCCACCTGAGCTGAAGCAAACCAGACTGCAAGGCTGACAAGGCTCTTTGAGGACTCCAATCAGGCACCCTCCTGAGTTCCCTGGTCAGACTGCACTTGTTTTGGCTCTGCAGATAAGCAAAATTAAACATTGGGATTACCATTTGGGTACCACAGGTAGGAACTTGGTCTGCCAAGATCCATGTGCTGGCTATTTTAAGCTCTTCCCTTCTCCAGCAGTTGGATTCCCAGTGGTCAAGCCCTACAGATTAGCTGACAATCCCCATGGGGTGAGACCAGGATGGGGACTCCCAAGATGTGACCCACAATGCTGGGGGAGCTGGATTCCACTCAGGGTTCTCATTTTCCATCTGAGGATCCATGCATAGGCTCAGGGCAGACATTTTGGTGGGGTGCAACACCAGCTTGGTGGAGGGGGTAGTGCAGTCAGCATATAGCCATCCCTCATATTCTTGGAATGCAGTTTCTGTGATGCAAGAGGCTGCAGCCTCACTCTCAGGTTCTAGGACTTTCTTAGCGATTATCCGTAAATAGTTGTTAGGTTGTTCCTGACTTTGTTTCCCCTTAAAGAAAGTAACTATGTTGCCATCTTAGTAACATCGCACCTACTGTGCATCTATCAGACTTATTATGTCTGCCTCATGCCTCATGGATTTATTTTTGGCTTAATTATAAGGAAAATGCCTGATATGTAGCAGGCTCTGAACAGATGTAGTTGGCTCCTTCCAGTGTAGCATAGCCTTCCATTCTTCCTTCAATACACAATGCTTTATACACATCTCATTACTAATTTTCCTGGCACATATGCCCACACCTCTGCTTATGCCGGTTCTGCTGCCTCAACTACCCTAATTCCTTTAAAACATACAAATACAAGCCTTGTAAAGCCTTACCAATCACCAATTATCAGACCCACATTGTCCCATGCCATCTAGCTCTTCATTCTTGCATAGAATTTCTCATACTCCACTTACTTGTTTACACGTTGGCCCAACCCACCCTAAAGGCAGACTCAACTAATTCCTAGTTGAGGAAATGTTTGATGACTTTAAAAAAAGAATTCAACATTAAACATAAGGCCACTATAAAGTTAGTAATGGGAACTTAAATGAATCTCCCAGTTCAGCAAATGCTATTCCTATTAGCTTCTAGGAACCTTAAGGAAGCTTGGGTTTTCTCAGTACTGTGATCTTAAAGCTTCTCCCATCTTCTGACTCCACCAGCTACCAGCTGAGGAAGCACCTGTCTCACCTTCTGCATATGAAGGAGCTTGGAGCCAGGGATGTGGACAGATGGAACCGAGAGTGCCTGGCATTGCTGCTCCAAGTTTGGAGGAAGGACCTGGAACTAACCCCCCCAAAGACCACTGCAGTAACCAGGACCACCAAGAGTCTATCCAAGGGCAGCTCAGGGGCAAAGTCTACCAGGCACTCGGTACTCAAGCAAATCTATGGTAAGTGTCCTTCTGAGCACTCTGTAGTTGATAAGCATCCCCAGGATGTTGCATCAGTATCTGAAATGGGATTTAATTACAATGGGCAAACCTCCATTCAGGTAGGAACTTTCCTATTCTACTTCCAGGCACCAAGAGAATTCTCAGCACCCACATTTAATGCCTCCCCTCCAGCAATTCTGGGTCAGAATTGGTTTCAGGTTGTATTCTAGCATCTCAAGAGAGCCTTCCAGTCAAGAGGTCTTCTGCTGGCTTTCATTACTGAAAGCCTCACCCTTTAAGCCTCTCCAGACCACTGCTTGGGTCTTCTTCCAAATGGTTAATGTAAGAACGCTCCAGGAGGAAGACCCTGCCTGCCTCATTTTGACCTTTCTTATGCTGAGATAGTACAGGGTTGCCCTTCCATGGGAATGCCCCAGACCCATAGACTATAGTAAATAACTCACTCAGCAGATGAACTGCTTTAAATTGAAACATTTTCAGCTTGGAAAAGCCCATCAAATAAACTCAGCCGAGAACAAGCCTGGCTAGCTCCTCAACAGAAAAGCAGTGAGCCCAAGTACCTTTAGAAATAGATCTGCAGGGATCCCTGGGTGGCGCAGCGGTTTAGTGCCTGCCTTTGGCCCAGGGCGTGATCCTGGAGACCAGGAATCCAGTCCCACGTCGGGCTCCCTGCATGGGGCCTGCTTCTCTCTCTCTCTCTCTATCATGAATAAATAAATAAAATCTTAAAAAAAAAAAAAAGAAATAGATCTGCAGCAAAATGTCAGGACTTCACCCTGGGCCTACATGGTATTTCCACACCATACCTAATTTATCTTGGCAGATACCAACAATCTCAAGCCTTTACCTCATTAAAGAATTTAGAACTTGGTCATGGTCAGAGAGAAATGATCATTGTTGATTTCAGGTTGTTCCCAAGAAGGGAAAGTACCTCATTCCACAAGATCTTCCAGAACCCATTCTGTGCTGCATCTCAATTCAGGTAAGGTAGCCAGTGCACTGGTACAGCAGATTGGGGATATGATGTGGGGAAGCATTTGCCTTGTTTCATCCCTAAAGGTGGGAGACATTAGAACAGAAATTGCCAGGGGTTTCCAGTGGTCATTTAAGGTGTGCATATTTTTCATTCCCCTCCCATAGAATTATTACTGCAGTCAACATGTCTCCATAGAAGGGAAGTTATTTTCACAACCACAAGTTTTTGTTAACATTACCTCCAGTAGAGACAATAAATGGTACCTAGTATTGATCACTTTTACGTATTTGTTCACATAAAGGAAGAGGGAAATGAAAAGTCATTCTTCAAAGTAATACCTTGGGGAATTCTTGTTCCATATTGGTTTCACATTAAGATTCTTCGTCTCCTTCTCAAAGCTGAGAAGTTCCTTAACCACAAATTCTGGCCCCATGAGGAACACATTTAGTATTTAATAACACGTCCTGCTCATGCTTCACTGTGCACAATTTCACTCCTACAGAAGCCCAAGGAACTTACTTTTCAGCCATAAGACAAGAGTATTTTACTCAGGCCCCCTTCATTCACACCAGCATTAAATTTGGATGATAAGTTCAGTGCTGTCAGCAGTTAATGTCAGATTCAGTGCTGCTCGTGGGGTGGCTATGGCAACACAGTCCCCCCACCCTTGCCAATCCAGTCATCCTGCAGGAACACCGTGCAGCTGGGAAAGTGAACAATGACGGTCAGCCTGAACTTTAACATTCATTTAGTTTTTGACAGGCGGGGGACAGAGTAATTACTGCCCAATCTTTAATCAGAGTCGGGCAACTCATGTAATATAGGCAGGCTGATCAGGGAGTAGTGGGCAGGGGAGTTAAGACTATAGACCTTGATTCCTTTGAGAGTTTCCATGTAAAAAAGAAAACTTTTGTTGTACTTGAATAAAAAGTTAGTTTCAAAAACAATGGTCAGAACTACCAGAGAAGTAGCATTTAGATAATCAGAGCAGTTTATATTTTGTCTCCAGTGAAAAATCCAGGACTACCAGAAATCTTAAAAAAATGAAGGGCTTTAAAGGCACAGGCGTTTTTAATTAGAAGGACAGAATAAACAAATTCAAATACGTAGCGGTTTCTTGGGATTTCATATGAACAAATAGCTTTTTTGTCCTACACATATAATCCTGACTGGCTTGAAAACAGGGAAAAAAGAAGAGAATCTTTTCCTAACCCCAAACATGGGGGAACACCAGGTTTTGTTAGGTCCACCCATCCACATTAAGCATTAACCAGTGAATCAGGCTGTCAGGGCTCCTAACTAGTTTAGCTGGACCCAGTAGGTTTTATACAGAAAACATGTCTATAAATAATTTCCACCGAAATGGGCACGACTTGGACATAGACTTCTGCAGTTTACAATCACAGCCAAAGTGAACCAAAAAGAGAACATTAATTTTGGTCTTCTCCATGAATAAATTTTTTTTTTTTTTGCTTTGAGAATTCCGTGGGGTTAAAGATCCTCTCATGTGCTCACTGTCCTGTTCAGTTTTAGAAAATTACTTAGTACATAGAGTGCTCAAATGTGAGTGAAGATTGTTGCTCCCAACCTCCAGTGTGGGAAAGACTTTAGTAGTGATTTAACCTCTTTTAAAGAGGAAGCAGGTCAGGTGGATATAGCAGTGTGTGTGTGTGTGTGTGTGTGTGTGTGTGAGAGAGAGAGAGAGAGAGAGAGAGAACTACCTTTTAAAAATCCACTCCAGTGAATGAAATAACCATGGCTCAGGTGATTACTAGTAATGACAACCCCCTTGTGTGAATGCAGAATTCCTGTTCACCCAAAGAAGGGTATGCAAGTAACTCAAGATTTGATAAAGGCAGCCAAAAACTGGGTTCCAGATCAGTAGTTCACTGTAGAACTTTAAGTAACAGCAGTAATAAAACCAGGAGAGAAATATTAAGACACATTTGTAACTTTTAGAACCTACTTACCTTTCCCCTTTATTCTCCACAGAATTAGGAGCAACAGATAGCAACATGGCCTCAGCAAGTTCTCTTAACCTTTTAGGGCCTCAGCATCCTCATTTGTCAAATGAGAGGGTTGATTTCCAACTATGGCATCTTAAAAAGGCCTATCAGTCTATCATCCTTAAAGATAAGTTTTCAAACCAAACCTATTTTCTAGAATGGACTATATAGCCTAAACAACATGGCCCATAGAAAGGTATGTATGTGTACATGTTTGTGGTAGTGTAGGTTAAAAACAGAGAAAGCAGTACCAGTTACTCCAGACTGAAGACCCAGGTCCCAGTCACAGCTCAGGCACCTGGCCGGCCCCTCTCAGTCAAGGTTCTTCCTTTAAGAGATATCATGTATCTTAGAGGATAATGGGAAATGCAAGGCTGATAAGTCATCCTGTTTCCACAGCAAACTGGCCATCACCTTATCAGCCCCATGGACAGTCCACGACTAAACCCCTTCTCCTCACCAGCAATGAACTCTTCAGTATTAAAATCAATAACCTCAATCTCTCTCTGGTATTTTAACAGTGAGCAACTTGCAGTGTATACACCTCCTTGAGAACAGTGGAAGATCAAAGAATTTTTCTTATAATCTGCAATCAGCTACTCCACCAAAAACCAAAACAAAGCTTCGACCATCTCTGGAGGAAGACTGTGTCCGGAGTAGCTGGAAGAGCTAGTGCAGAATTCTTATTCTCTGCTGATGATCTTTTACCTGTTGGAAAAAAACCTCAGTACTCATGCCTAACGTCTTAATGGCCTGAAAAAGTGTTAAGTGAATAACCATGTCAGGGTGTCTTTCTGCTCTTCCACAGCACTGTTTTGTAAACTATCTTAGCCTGTGCTACAAGGACCACAGTACATGGTGCCTGCGCAAAGCTTCCGGGACGTCTGCCTTCACTCAGTATGGCTGTAAAGTACAACTCAGACTTTACTGTTAATTATAAGTAAAACTAAAAACATGAACACAAACATGACATTTCTGCCAGCCAGCTGATGCAGGCCTGGTGGGGGTTTTTTGTTGTTTTTGGGTTTTTTTGCTCTGATGAAAAACCTAGATGAGTTAGGGAGGAGTTGGTTGTAGAGCAACCATCTTCTTCATTTCACTACTTTTCTCCAAATTTTGGGCCAGAATCATGACCTAACATTTGCTTTTAACAATTGTTAAGACAATATGGGGTGCCTGGATGGCTCAGTTAAGTATCTGCCTTCAGCGCAGGTCATGATCCCACGGTCCTGGGATCAAGCTCTGGAACGGCTCCCTGCCCAGCAGAAAGTCTGCTTCTCCCTCTCCCTCTGCCCCCTGGCTGTGCTCTCAAACAAAATCTTAAGTAAGACAATAATAGGAACTCTGTTGATTCCTTATATTTTACAGTTCCCATGTTAGCTTCTGAGGCCACAGGTTGCTACCATTGTCCTGTGAACAGCAGTCTCCCTTGCTGAGCGCCAGCAGCAGTATCTCAGCGCCGAGGAATCAAATGGGGAGGTCTACAGACCAGACCATTCATGTATAAGGTACCAATTCAGGCCTTACCATTTCACTTGTCAAGTATTTTCTGCCTGACCTGTACAGGTAAGCACTCTTGTCAAAATGCCATTCCTACTGGGCAAGGGAAACTGCGCTAAAACTACATACATTCTAACTCTAAGAACACCTGGCATAAATACAATCCAGCGATCACAGGCTTTTTCACATATTTAAGAGCAAAGTAACTACAGGAATGTAGACAGAAGGCATAGTGGCATATTAAACTCAAACATTTCTAGGAACACTTCCATTTTCTTAAAACTACTGCCACCCCTGTCCTAAGAAGCAATAAAATGTTAACAATTAGCAAACTGTTGAAAAATGAAGGTAATTTCTTAATTATGAAAATAGTGATTACACTTGACCCTTGAACAACCAGGTTTGTGTGGATCCATTGAACATGTGTTTTTTTTTCAATAAATACATATGGTATCGATAAATACAGCCATAGTACCGCAAATGTGTTGCTTTCTCTAGCTTGCTTTATTTAAAAAAATAAGGTATCTAATTCGTATAACAAAACACGTGTAAACTAATTATCAGTAAGGCTTCTGGTCAACAGTATGCTATTAATAATAAAAGGTTTTGGGGAATCAAATGTCATACATTTTTTGATGGGGGGGTGTCAGCACCCCCAAATCCTCCCCCAACATTGTACAAGGGTTAGTATGAACTGCTATATAGAACTTGTAATTTTAAAAGAACTATAATGGTCATTAGTAAAAAGTACTTTTGAAAGAATTAACTGGATCAAACCAAGTACCATTTAGCATGATCTTGTTCCTGCATAGAGGGACAGAAAACTGCTGTAAATAACAGAACTCCATAGTGAGAAGCTGAATGTCATGGCAGCTGTTCCCAAATAAACAACTGGTTTCTGTTGCTATCTGAATGAACTGGAGCTGAGACCGCAAAGATTCTGCTACTTCTTGGTAAATAATAGAAGGTACTATATTACCACTCCATATTTTATAAATATTTAGTTCCTATGAAATGCAAAATACACTAACCACCTTGTAACCAAGTATCATATACTAGTCCAAGAAGCCAAGCTATGTTATTTTCCTACTTTAGTGCAAAGGAAGGTTCATAAACAACTTCTTTAAAAGTTCAGCTTTAATGACAAACATTACATCAATCTCTCTTCAAAATTAGATGTGAATAAACAATTTCAAACAGGAGATACCACAATGCCTCTTACTGTACTCAATACACTGTACTCAGTGCACTGGGGCCCTGGGGATGCCCAGTGATATACACATTGAAGCAATAATGTAAGTCTGTGAGCCACTGTTCCTGAATACCTCCACTCTTCAACGTCTGCAGAGAAAAACAAGAGTACTTTGAGAATTGTATCAAAATTGTTAATGACAGTATTTTTCACACCCAAACAAGATCTCAGAACCACTGCAACCCCATCTTCCACCTATCAATCACCATAGAAATCTACTGGAATGAAGTTCATGCCCAATTAAGAAAATTCCTAGTTACAATACCCTCAAATACAAGCCGTACACCAGTTTCTGGTTTCATTTGTTCCCTCTCGAATACTTCTAGGAACCTCCTCCCCCCTTGGCATGGTACAATTTCACAATCTTTGCATGAACAGGAAAATTCTACAAGGCCAATTGACAATTTCTGTCATTCTCTTATTTATAGAGGTGGCCTGAATCTCCAACCTTGGAATAATCCAAATTACTGACTTTTTTCCTATTTCTGAATTATTCTATTGCTACTTCCATTACGTCTAGAAGGCTACTGAGAAAATCCAGAATAAGAATCTGTTACATCTGGATAAGTTCTATTACTCTGAAGTATTACTACATATCAAAGTCCTCAATACCTACATAAAAAACCTCTAACTTTTCCAAACCATAAACACTGAAAGAATGCTAGACAGAGATACCCTTGTAAACACAGAACCAACCCTTAGACAAAGCTGAAGTCTGTAACAATTTAACTTCCCTCTTATTCTCCAGTGAACTAAGTGACTAGAAATTGATTGTAGTTTATTCCTGCTAAATAATTTTTTTAATGACAGCTAACATTTGTTGAAAACTTACGTCAGTTATACTAAAAACTTTACTTGAATGATCTCATTTTATGGTTATCAACACCCAAAGAAGTTGCTATTCTTACAGCTAAGTAAAATAACTGACAGGTTTAAAAACATGCCAAATTACCACAGTTAATCAACAGAGTTTAAGAATCCTGGTAGTATGTACTATGATGCCTATACCTTTTCTAAGCTGCCTGCCACCTTAATTCAATTTGAGTATTTTATGGCTTTTGTTACTGACTCGATCAAAGACCTCCCCCTGGTTAAGTAACAGGTGCTAGTCAACAGGGGCAGCCCTAGGAAATCACCACAGTGGGCTTAATTCTAGGAGCCAGTCAATGCACAGGAGGCCTCACCTCCCCAGAGCAACACCCACCTCCATGCCCTGCCCATGAATCTTTTTTCTAGTACTAATGGTACAAGGCCCTGTTTCACACTTCTTACCGTGATATTCTTGATGATCTGCTGCACCAAGATGGCATTGGTTAACATATGAGTTCTGAGGGGTGCATGCTGAAGCAGCAGGCGAAGCAGCTGGCCCACAACAGGCAGCTCCTCAGGCCCAGCTCTGTTCACCCGCAGGCTCTGCAGCATCAACCTGAGGACTCGAGGCAGGAGAGCCAAGATGGAGACACAGACCCCCCACAGCTTGTCCCTACAACAGACAAAAATGAGTCAGAAAGCCAAAACACAGAAAAGGTACCCTTTCCATATTTCCTAAAACTGAAAAAGGTCATTTTAAGAAACACGGTGTTTTCTAATAAAACTCCACAAATCAAAACTAGTAACTGGGTTTCATCAGAGCTAATTTTAAGCAAATCCAATGAGGAAGCAGGTGCTCTCCCCTATTTAATGAGTTCTAGGAAGCCTAGCAATCAGCACTTTCCTGGGCTTAACAGGACATTCTTAAACCTGATCATATATAACACAGAACTAGACAATCTACACACACATACTGTTCTCTACCACTTAACATTATTCAACCATTATACAATATCAAAAATCAAGAGTAAGAATATCCCACTGATGAAAAGAACATGGGATGCCTGGCTCAGTAGAGAACGTGAACTCTTGATCTTGGGGTCTTGGAGTTTGAGCCCCATTTTGGGGGTAGAATTTACTTAAAAAAAAAAAAAACGGGTGCCTACGTGGCTCAGTTGGTTAAGCATCCAACTCTTGGTTTTAGCTCAGGACATGATCTCAGGGTTGTAGAATGGAGCTCCACATTGGGCTCCACAATCAGCTTGAGGAGTCTGCTTGAGATTCTTCCCCCCCCCCACCCTGCCTTTTATCCTAGCTCTGCTCTGATGCATGTGCTCTTTCTCAAATAAATAAAAATAACCACACACACAAAACAACAAAACTTCATGGAACTTTAAGCCTGTGACCTGAATTATGAGCCTCTTCAATGTTTTAAGGAGGGCAAATTTGTGGAGAAAGATGTGCTCACGAGGAACCAAAATGGATTTCAGAAAGTAGCCAGTAAGGAAACTATTACTGTACTACTAGGTCATGAAAGGCCAGAAATAATCCAAATATTAGTAAGCATCATTATCTTGGTATCATTATAGAGGAGGAACAAAAACGTTTTATGAAAAAGGGGATTTGTAGCTACCCTCACCACATGCTAGAAGTGTCAATTAAATGCAGAAATAGAGTCCCACTGGCTGCTAAAAGCTCTGACCTTAGTCTGTCAGATTCTATTACCAGAAGTGTATAATCCTTCTAGTTCCCAAATCCTTCAGAGAGAACTTGACTACCTCCAGATGTAGAAGCAGTACTCCTTTCACACTCTCATGAACCTCCCCAACTTCATACACAGCATCAAAGGTGAATACTGAATCCACTCTAAGCCAACCAGATTCTCTTACTTATAAGAGACTTTACCCAGCCTGTTGACTCATGCATAGCCAAGTTAGGAGAGCCATGTGCAAGGAGAAAAAAGCCAGACTGCAGACACAGCTAATAAGGCACAGAGACAGAGATTACACAATTTAGAAGAAAATGTGAGATAACTACACTTTGGTCCCTAATGAGTTTCAATTCCTTGCCCTTGGGTTTTATAAGTTACCCCCGTAATGATCCAATATTCATTTTCTATTTTAACTTGAGTGGATTTCAAATAATTGCTGATCAAAACTGTGCTAAAAGGGCTCATGGATTCTACACAATACTAAATACAGTGAATAGATCAATAAAGTTTAGAACTCCACCTTAAAACCACATTTAAACTGTCAAGTCGAAAAAATACGAGAGACCTGGGTACATAGGCAATAGAAGAAATACCATATGAACAAGAGCCATTCCTAGGGTTTTCTAAGAGTTGTCATGTACACGAATAAGGCTACTTATTCTACAAGTGTTTAAAGGACAGAACTGGGGGGGGTCGCTTGGGTGGCTCAGTCAGTTAGGCTTCTGCCTTGGGCTCAGGTCATGATCTCAGGGTCCCAGGATGGAGCCCCATGAGCTTCCTGCTCTGCAAAGAGTCTGCTTTTCCCTCTCTTTCTGCCACTCCCGTTTCCCCCACACTCCTGCTCTCTCTTGCACACATGCACTCTTTCTCAAATAAATACTTTAAAAAAAAGAAAAAAAGGACAGAACTGGGACCAATGAAATTGAGGTTTCAGAACTCAAAGCAGTTCTGAAAACCACTCTAAAGAAACTGATGAGGGGCACCTGGGTGGCTCAGTGGTTGAGCATCTCCTTTGGCTCAGGTGGTGATCGCGGAGTCCTGGGACTGAGTCCCAACATCAGGTTCCCACAGTCCCTCTGCCTATGTTTCTGCCTCTTGTGTGTCTTTCATGAATAAATAAATAAGATCTTTAAAATTATAAAGTAAAATTAAAAAATAAAGTGATGAAAGTTCAGTATTTTGCATACAATTTTCAGGAGTTCAGCTAACTCCACAAATTTCTGATAAAGTCCAATCAGATAACAGCAACCTCCCCTTCCACTCCAAACACAGAGAAATAGAAATAAAATACTTAAAAAAAAAGTACACAGCCAAGCCCCAAAAGCCAGAATGGGTAAAATTTCTAGGTGCCAGAAACCATCACAGAAATCATATAAACATACCCCAACAGGGGTATAAAGAGTTGAATGTGGGCTTTTAGGTCTGAGTTTTCAACAGCTAAATGTTGGAAGCTGAGACTTCAGGACCCAGGTGTGGGAGGCGGGGTTTCCTATGTGTAGCTGGAAGGCAAGAAAATGTATATGTAAAAGTGACCCATAATCTGCACAGAATTCTCACAAAAGATGCACTCAAAGAGAGGGTATACAATCCAAACCATAAGTTTGTTCAAGCCCATGAAAAACAATCTCCAGAGCCTCACCTGCTCCCCTACTGAAGGGAGAATTCCCACACCAGAGGATAAAAGAGCAAACAGAACAAACTGATAGGGACTTTAAAGTAAGACCAATAAATCATGAAAAAAACCAAGAATGACAAAAAGCCAAGTTAAAAACCAACAACAGAGCAAAGAATAGAGCTGATGAAATTAAAACTTAACAGGGTTAAATAAAACATATAGCAAAGCAGAAGATGTTCAGAGGTACAGGACAGATTGAGAAGATCCCTTCACTTAAAGGAGGTTGTAGGAGAGAACAGAAACAACCAGGGAGGTAACAGAAATAGTAACAGCACTTCCCAGACCTTAGGGAAAAACACCCAGTCTTCAGATCAAAAGTACACTGTCTCAAGAAGCAGGATAAATAAACCTACATTAGGACACACCTTGATTGGCAACACCACAAAGGTAAGAAGAAAACAGTAAAACCATAGAGAGGAACAGATTACTACCTACAACCAAGAGGGCTTAGTGACAAGAGATTTTTTTGTTACTAACAATAAGTCCAGAAGACGATAGAATAGTTTCTTCAAAGTCCAGTGGCCAGAGTTTTTAACAACTCAAACTGACTGGTCAAACCCGA